TAAAAAGCTGTTCTGTTTGGGATGCGTAACTGCCCAGGTTTGTACGGAAACCTACAGAGAGCAGTCGCCATCATGTATGTGGGGTGTTTTTAGGTTATAGCTAGCTAGCACCGCCTTTGTTTGCTGTACAAGGCACCTGGAAAGGCTGTGTCAAAAAACACAGAGGGCAAACTCTGCCCTGAGGACCCTGTGCTCCTGTTAGAGCGACTGCTGGGCTGAGAGGCAGCCACAGGAGCAGAAAGAGCCATCCCAGTGTGCCCATCCTGTTAGCAGGGGCTGGGCTGAACTGGGAGCATCTGCAGGGTCCCCACTGGCACACGGTGCCTGCCCTGACATAGAGACACTGGTGAAAATTGTCTCCTCCAGCTCACACAGGTTCTTCAGGCCAGGGAAGACTGCAAGTGGTGGCACATGGGCCGCATATGTCCCTCTGGATTAGGGCCAGCCCAGGAGCTATTTATGCTAATGAAGCTAATCTCTGTAATCTTGTCACACAAATGCCTCTTCTCTGCTGGCAGACGGCGGGGATTTGGGTTATATGTGGATGCCAGCAGATGTAAGTGCACTGGGAGGTGGCACAGAGAGGAGGCACATCTGCAGCTCGTGGGGGCCCTGCCAGGCTGCATTCAGCTCACGTGAAGACCCCTCTCCTGCGCTCTGCTCCGGGGGTCTCGCCCCGTTGTCCCTCCGCAGTGCGGGGTGAGCTGCTGTCCCGGGAAAATGCACCTCGGGATGCTCGGTTTAAAAGCAAGCCCCGTTGCCCCAGCCCAGTGCCTGTAACCCCTGCGTGCCGCCGTTCCTCTGGCCTTGCGCCCGTCCCGTGTCCTTTTCCAGGTTATGCCATGTTTTTCACCCTTCCTGCTGGTACCCCCAAGGTGATCGCCAAGTCTCTGCGTGATCCTGCAGCGCGTCTTCCTGTGGCTCACCTGCCCTTGGCCAATGGGCTCAGGCTGGGGGGCAAGACTGGGGAGACTGTCGGTCCATCTCTGGGTCTGGTTTAGCTTATTTCCTTCTGTCTGGCTTCTGGCAATCTTTGCAGGTCACAAATATTGCCGGCTGGGCCCCTGCGAGGGGTCTCTGTGCTGTGCAGCAGCACACGGTTGCTTCTGACCTTAGAAGTCTGACCCGCTCCAATGCCACCTCTTGCTGACCAGGAGCTGAGTCTGTTCAAGTTCATCCGAGTTATTTTGCACTCAAAGAGAAGCCTCTGGGCTCCCTATCTCTGCTCCAGAGCTGCCCATTAAATTGCATATAGCGATGAGTGATGTGGAGGCATGAGGCAGGATCTGCCTTCCTGCCTGTCATCGAGGTGGCGGGCGGCGAAGCAGACAGCTCTGTCCTACAAAACGTGACACGTTTGCCTGGAGCCCCCCAGGGACCACAGTGGCTGTGCACGGACACGGGAGCTGCAGAGAACTGGGTGCCTCTCCGATGGGATCCCTGGCGCACGAGGGACCCATTTTTAATCAAATGATCAGAGGCTCTCTGTCTGATCGCTGAGCTGAAATCCCGTCCTCTCTCCATCGTGGCATTGCTGTAGATTTTCTTAGAAAATAAATAAAATAAATCTGCATTTAGAAAAAGTGATGCGAGGGCTAGACATGAGATGCTGGCTGCTCCTTACTCTGAGGCCACGGGGTTGCTCTGCTGCTCAGATGTGCCTTAGGCAAGAACTAATATTTGCTTGCAAGCTCAGTTTTCCCTTGTGTGGGATCTGTGGTTTTGCTTGTCAGTTGGACTACATCCCTTTCAAAGCAAATTATTTTAGAAGATCTGTATTTCTGTATTTCTGAGTAGTGGTTTTTGTGACTGTAAGTTAAGGAAGTACATTTGGCATCATCTTGTGGGTGACGAACCAGGATACAGTTTCCAGGTGGAAAAATCACTCTGTGTTGAGAAAAGCAGCATAACAGGTCAGGGCTGGGGGCTTTTATGTATTTTTAATGTGCTCTTCCCTTGGGCTGAATGCTCCCTGAGGCAGCAGGGATGCTGCCCGAGGCGGATGCATGTAAGATGCACCCATGGCACGATGGTCTGTCCCGTGGGTCTCGCTGGGCGCTGGTCCGGAGTCCAGCGACCGTGGGGTGTGCGTCCTCCCCTGCGCTGCGTGTAGGGGTGGCCGGCCGGCCAGGGAAGGGGGAGGAAAATCCTCGTATGTGTCAGTCAGACAGATATAATCCTGACCAATATTTCCTGACATGTCTTGCAATTATGGGCTCTGTGTGTCAGCTAGAGTATGTCCAGCGGGAAGGGTTTACGGAGCTGTCCCGCTCAGGTATGCGAGCAACGCCGGAGCCTGCCGGGTGCTAATCTGCCGAGGGGAAGCCCAGCCCTGGAGCTGCTGCCTCGTCCCACCATGTGCCAAGGGGCCTTTCTCCTTCTCCTGCCACAGAAGTGTGGTGCCAGTGGGGAATATCCCTGGCAAGGGACTGATATTGCCAGCCAGAAACATCCCCTGCTCTCACAGGGTTAGGAGAGGGGTCTCCATCTAAATGCTATTGCTCAAGCTTGTCTCGAGACAAGCAAATGAAGGGTGAAATGGAAAAAAAATTCACGGTTACTTTTTGGGTAATAAATCCAGGTTATAATAGCTCCTTTCATCCTAAAGGATCCCACAGTGCTTTATAAATAGATATGCAAACCATGCACAAGGATCACTTCCAAGCACTGAGATGCAGCCGCTTCCTGGGAGAGCGGAGCAGCTGGTCGGAGCAGAGCTGGAGCTCCCAGAGCGATGGAGCCTGGTGCAAAGCAACTGGGAGAGCTGGGCTGGCTGCTCAGAGCACAGCAGGGCAGCAGCTCCTCGCATCCCACCATGTCTGCACGGAGCTCGTCTCCCTTGCCGACATAGAGAACTACACTACGCTCCCTTTGCTTGGCAAAAATCTTGCAGTGTCATACTGCCAGTGCTACCTCCTATCCTTATTCCAATCCTCCTCTTGCTTTACGAATGACATTAACAGCTGTAATGGGGATTAACAATATCTTTCCAATTCAATTACCCCTATCCTAAAAGCATGCGGGATTATTTAAAGGTATTATGATTTTTTAAGTGGGATAGCTTTTCACCAGCCTTGTGCTCATACAAATCTACCCAGAGAGAACAGGATGCATACAGCCTTAATGATCATTACCCTAATCTTCATGGTCTATTTTTCCTGGTAACTCTGTTATAATCAAATAACAATCTAGTTTATTACTTGCCAGGGAAAAGTGCGTTAGCAGATCAGCCACTTGTGTCATGTAGATGTAAAGGCTGAGCCTGCTGCTGGCCATTGCTTTTTTCTCTAATGGAGTCGGGAGTGGAAGGAGGGAAAAATCGCTTCCCCTTCACATCCAGATGAATTTCCTCGTGGCTGAGGAGTGGAGGCCACTGCTGCTGGGTTTGGTGTTTGTAGGGGGTTGTTTGGTTGGTGTTTGTTGTTGTTGTTGTTTGGTGTTTGGGGGGGTAATTTGTTTTGTTTTTTTGTTTTGGGGAGCGTTTTTTGGGTTGTGGCATTTTCGTTTTGTTTTGGTTTTGTTTCTTTTTAAACAGCAAAGGCTGAAGCAGCCGGATCTGGTGGGCTGTGCAGAAGAGGTTGCTCCTGTGGTGGGCCCCGTATGGTGGTTCTTCCTCTGCCGTGCAAAGCTGCGTGATGTGCTGGGAGGGGAGTGGGTGGATGGCAGGGGATCTGGCTGCGCTCCACGCTTGCATCCCTCTGCCTCTGAAAGATCACAGGGGAGATGGATACCTCGGTGCTTCTGGGCCACATTTTAATCGGTTAATGGAGAACCTGGAAATAGGTCCCCAAATCTGAGGACTAGCCTGCTTCTAGCCCGTCTGCAGGATTAGGAGAAAGTGTTTGGCTGTGAATATGTGTGCCGGCGACTGGGTGCTGCTCACCTCGGTGCTTCCATGTCCAGCCCAGACGGTCTGCAAAGCATTTGGCAGGTCCTGCACAATAAATCACAGTGTTGGCCTCCTTCCTAGTAGGCCTGGGGAGCTGCCCTGGGAAGGGATGAACAGGGCGGCTTTGCAGCCTGGAGAGATTTCTCTTGTCCTGGGATGGAGGGAGAGACGCTGGGGGAGAGCAACCGGCCACGCAGCCCACCGGGACGGGGTCCCTTTTTTTTGGGGGGGCGGGGGGAAGACACGGGTGGGGGGTCCATCTGGATCCCACCCTGCCCCGGGGCTGCGAAGGGACAGGGACCCCAAACTTGCCTGCTGCCTCCCGGGAAGGCTCTGTCCCGCGGTCCACGCACCTTGCAAAAGTGGGTGTTGGTGCTGGGGGGAGCGCAGGGAGGGAGAAGCGGCCGGACCCCCCCCCCCCGGGGCGGACAGCGGCCCCGCCGGGCTCCGCGGGGGCCGGGGGCCACCTCGTGGCGGCGGCGGGACGCGGTTCGGAGGGACGAGGTTTGCAATCTGCTGGGTGTCCTCGCCTCAACACCCCCCCCAGGGGTCACACCACCCCCCCAGGCTGGACAAGCACACGGGGTGCCCCGGCTTTTGGGGGGGGGTACACGAGGGCTGCCCTGGCCGGCACCTCTATGGGAGCGGTCAATGGAAGAGGTTTCCGTGAGAAACTTGGGACCCCAAAGCGTGCCTCCGCGGGAGTGGTGTTTATCTTTGAAATAGCTGCAGGGTCGGGTTACAAAGCAAATCTGAGCGAAACGAAAGGAAACGGAGGAGCGAAATGGGTCAATCGCTTCCCTTTGACCAGATTCCTCCATAAAGAAAAACTGGGGCTTAAAGGCTCGTTTCCCCAGACGTGCCGAGAGGAGCCCAAGTAAGGGGAGGCAAATGCTGGGAAAACCCCGCAGAGAGTGCTGGCAGCCGTAAAGCATCTTTGATCCGTGATCCGTCCTTACAGGGTACATTGGATCTAACTCTGAGCCCCCCCCAAAGCCCCTTGTTAATTGGGGTGAAGGAAGCAGGATCAGATTCTGGGAGGTGCTGCGAGTCCCAGCATTAATCCGCTTTCCCAGTAGGAAATTTTCCTGCTGCAAACGCTTACGCCGCGATGTGCCGGGAGCAGGCGAAGGCCTCCCGCTGCTCGGCGGCTTTCGCGGGGGAAACTCGGGACCCGCAACTCGACAAGAGTTTTATTTATAAAGCTGCCAGCGCCTGGTGTAGGTTTACTCACTCTCCCATCTGGTGACTGTCGCTGCCACCTCCCGACAGACGCTCTGTCTCTTGCTGCTAATGACGTACTTTGATTAGCTGGATCCGCTGCTTCACCCAGCTATTGATCAGTCACTGGTTAAAAACTGGCTTTTGAAAAGCGTGAGCTGGCTTTTTTAACAGGTGGGGTGGTTTTATTGGCTTGACTAAAAAATCCGAGAGGGTGTTATTGATCGCAGGAGGTGCTGGGACGGCAGACAAGGACTAGATGCCTCCTGCTCCGGTGCAGGCAGCTCTGCCTGTGTGTAGGGACCGGCAGAGATGATGGCTTGCCCTTCTCTGTCCTGCCCTTCTCTGTCCTGCCCCTTTCAGGCTCTGGATTCTGCTTTCTTCTGGTGGCAGCTGCTTGTTGAGGACTTGGTGTGGGTCTTGTGTACTGTGGGCCTGGCGTTCCCTCTCCTGAATGCCGCGGTCATTTTATTTTGCTATCGCTTTCCTTTAGACAGAAGAGGGAAGTCCCACTTCCATGCCTTGCTCTGTCCTTGTGACACCAGTGAAACTGCTGACATGAGTGCAGATGGAGACGGTGGTTTCTCACCAGGACCCTCCATCAGGGCATCTCAGAGGGGCTTCCAGAGCTCTTCGTGGTTCACAGGGAGACTGGAGCCTGTCCCGTGGCTTGGGGCTGGGGCTGCCTGTCGCTTCGCAGCCCCGTGGACACGATCCGCAGGGCCTGGGAGCGTGTCCTGCCCCTCGCTGCCCCGGTGGCACGTCAGCCCCTCGGCTGTGCCACGCAGGGTGGGCTTGTGTGCGGGGCTGGACGCGTGCCGCCCGCCAAAAAGCAGTGGCTGGGCCTCTGGAGATTGCTCTAGGCTCTGCCGTTTGCTCCTGGTGCGGCTTTGGGCATGTTTCTTCATTTCTCTTCCCCAGGGCGCACTCACTGCTTTTTGTGGTACAGCTGGGTAAGAGAGGGATGAATGTCAAAACCCACGTGTTCTTCACTTGGAAAACAGGGATTATCAGTGTTAAGCAGGCTGTGCTTTTTGTGTCCGTAAACGAAAAGTCTTGATTTCCCATTGTGCTCCAGCTGGAGAAATGTTCATTGGATTTTGCAGGATGCCGGGCAGCTCAACGGCACGTTGCACCTCGGCACGGATCCCTTCTGCCTTAGCATTGCCAGTGTCTTTATTGGATTCTGGCCTGAGCATGGAAATAGGGGTTAATTTGTTAGGGTCAGGAGGGCCTTTACTCTTTTTGGACTGGTTTCTCACCCCCTGCCTTGGCCCTGGTGCCTGTGGCGGTGTCAACATCTCTCGTCTTCCCGGGCATCGCTTACGGATGGAGGTACCGGTGTGTGGGCACCGGCAGAGCCATCCCGTCACCTTAGGGATGCTTTCGGGGCACCGGGAAGACGACAGACGCGTTAACTGGGGGGTCACTGCGGGGGTGTGTGACTGGGAACGCCACGACCTGTTGACATCCCACCGCTGGTTCCAGGACACCCACCGGTTCTGGGGCAGGCGGCCGAGACCCGCACCCCACCGCGGCCGGGGGCTCCCTTCCGCCGCCCCCCCCGGCGATGTCCCGCAGCCCCTTTCAAGCACTGAGCCC